GTCAGCTTGAACATGTGTACACATCCTCACTTATTCAAGGAGCCTCACCATTAATGTAGTCAGATCTTATCCAAGCTATATTTTTGTTTTTAGAACATTTTACTTTCTATAATACACTAAATAAAAATTCTTATGTACTGTATACTATTTCAGTTAGAGGCACATATGTTAATTAGAATATTAGCATTTACTTTCAAACGTAAAATTCATGGTCAGGATTTTACTGACAGTGCAGTAGGGAAATAACAAGTGTTGAAAAATAAATGAAAATTTACTTTTTTATTAAGTATTTATTATTTTACATGCAAAGCATAATGAAGTGAATAAGCTGACTACTCCACAATGAAAACCTATGCAATGGGAATTGTGAAAAGTGTCTACACAATACTAATGTGGGCCAATAAAGTATCCAGATGTTTTTCTAAAAATATTTGTATTATCTAAATTAGCTGATTTTTCAACAGTAAATTTTAACTTTCATATGGTATTTGCTGGTAGCAGTAGCCAGCTAATACTTAATCTTAGAAAAGAAACACACACACACACACACACATATTATAATAATAAAAAGCCCTGAATAACATAGCCAAATCTTTCAAGAGAAAAGTTCACCAAAAAGTAATATATACACGTTAGGTATTCAGAGAGGGAAACAAAACAAAACAGGCATGTAATAAATGTCCATCAAGTGATCATCACTAACATTCTATTATTACCAAAGTGCCAGCCATAAGCCAACTGTTTGTTAGACTTAAATACCTACAACAAACCAGTAATCAATAATATATTCAGAAAAACTAACTTAAAATCATGTTTGAATACATCAATAGTTTGGGGTATCTGACATACAATGAAGTCTTTTTACTTCAGTATCACTATAAATTCCTTTAAAATTTTCTTTTCATAATATATAATTATCTAAAAGAAATATGGTGCAATGCTTCCCAATAGGTCTTTCACTCCAACATTCAGTAAATGTTGAAGCACACTGAATGATACCTATTAACAAGACCTGAAAGACAATGACTGAATAATAAATACAAAAAATACTTTTGAATGAACTATTCAGATTAGACTGAAAATTGCTACTGAAAATTGTACTTGGTGCTCCTGACTCACACCACACAGACTATACATTGCTAAATGGAAGGGCTGGCCCATGTCCATTCTTTTATAACTTCTGTAATATCTGTAAGTGTATATCCAGTTGACTAATAAATACTTGCTGAAAGAATGGGTATGAAAATTTAATGTAACTCTCATCCACAGTCTTCTTATATACTGACATGTGATTATTTTGGGAAGAGGATACGACTTGAATATGATATGAGATTTTAGCTAAGTAAAATTAAAAACCTACGAGCCTCGGTTTTCTTGGGTAGTGGTTCAACTCTTTATACTGAGAATAAAAAAATCAATTTCTATACATCACTGACAAACTTACTTGCACAGGGGGAAGTACCTTTTATTGAGGCACCTGATGAACAAAATGTTCACTGATTAATATTATGCTTTCAGTTTAATGGAATGACAAAAGAAAAAGTATTACTAAATTCTAAATAATATAAATCACAATCCTAGTCCATGGGATATCCTTTATTTAGCTAGCATAATTCCAATACAAAAGAAGCTTACTGTTACATATTAGGAGTGGTTCAGATACAGTAATAAAATGTTTAGCCCTGACTCTAACATGTTATTTTTAACTTCAGATTTGTGAATGCTAGTTCTTTCTCATTTAACATACTCCCCCAAATGAAAACCTTGTGTATTTGGTTTTTATATTACAAGATGAAAATATATGCCTGAATATTGTAATGGATTAACAATAGAATATAAGTGACAACACTGCATGGAACTTACTAGGCACAGACCCAAGATCATAAAAATACAAAGATGACAGATGACGATCACTGTACATGTGAGTATTATCTAGGACATCAGATCAATTAACAAATACAAGGACTTTTCTATTTCGCCTTATGGTGTTGAACATATTGATATGTCTAATACATTTATTTCTATTATATTCAATAAAGTATTAGTGGATGCAAAATCTTGCATGTTAATTTCTAATTACAAAAATACAGATTAATCCAGAAAACATAAAATACATGTAATCGAGGTAGGTTTTTGACCTTAAAAATACATTGCTTCTACCACAATTAAAAAATTATTTTAAAAAAGAATACATTGCTTCATGGATCTGCCCCTGATACTTAAGCTTCTATGTTTTAAACCACATGATCAAGTGTGACAGTGCTAATCTAATATGTTTAGTAAATTTCCTTAGAAATACACACCCTAACATCTTCCTTTTCCTCTACAGGTAACCATAGTGCAATAATATTAATAATGAAACAGATTATTTCCTCAATTCCCAAATTAATACATGTCAAAAATCAGGGAGGCCAGTTGTATTCATTTTAAAGTTAATAATCATACTGTTTGGAAAATAATATCATAAACACATTATAACTTTGAATATGCTTTATTATGCCACAAATTCCTCGGAAATATAAGAACTATTTCTTCTGAATGAGACTAATACTTTCACAAAATACTAGCACTTTACTGACAATAGTCAAGTTTTCTAAGGTGGAACACATGTATTTAAGTTACTTTTTCAAAATTTCAATATTTTTATAAGCTTTAAAGGGATATAAAAGATCCTACTTTATTTTTTAATATTCAGTGTAAAAATCTGTATGTGAAGTAAATATATATATATATATATGAAGAAGTGCATGTGAAAGGCTTGCCTAAGATCTTAGGTGATACATTTGCACTAGGTACCATTATGTAAAAGATCATTGTCAGAAATGTTCCCAATAAACTGAGAAAAGGAAAAAAAACTAAAACTGCTCAGTCTTTACAAGTATTAATAACTGGTATAATTTTATAAATGGAAATGGAATATTCCTTTACTTACATATGGGTTAAATAAATTACAAATACTTCTTTTACTGAAAAACCAGTACACTTAACATATTTTAAGACTAAATACTGACAGCATTTTCACAAGGTCCAAAATGTGGATGGGAAATTAGATAATACCGATATATCTGCCACATACCTAAGGGTAAGTAAAGGGAGATGAGTACCTCAAGCCAAAGGCAGTAACTGAGCCTGGCAGACCATCTGACATGTGGATAGTGATCACTGTCCTACAGTGGGCAGTATTCTCTGAAAAGGATGCTCTTTAGGGCAGTAATTCTGCACTGTATCAAGTTTGGTAATTTAACATTGAAATTGTTGGTTAATATATTTGGACATATTAAAACTTCCCCAGAGACCAGGTTATTAAATAAACTAAAAGGGGAAGCAATGCTGATAGCTAAAATTATATTAACTCCAGAGTCTCCAGTGGAAGGTACAGAAGGAAAGAAGCAACAGCAGCTGTTTCCAAACTTATGTTATGATCAGAAATCATCAGATGGTTATCATCAGACCTTTAAAAGGGTCTCAATTTAAACCTATCTAGAAACGGTAGCCAGGTAATTCTTTTTTAAGCAACCCAAGTGATTCTGATGATCAGCCACAGTTGAAACTTCTGAAGTGGGAAGGGGTAAGGGTTAAGGGGGCAATCTAAGCCACTGCAAAGAGTTTTAGAATTCCACATCTGATTTTTATCATTTACTCTATAATTTTCCCAAATGTCTCACCCTTCCTATTTTTCTAATAGTGAATAATGAAGGGGCTAAGCAAGTGAAGGAAAATGAATCAGTGGGGTATCTAAAACACATTTAATTATGTTCAAGCCACTTATGTATATTAATTAGATAAATGGGCATCCATATACTCATGTTTGAGACTCTACTATCACTTCTTAATATTGTTATCTTAAAGGAAAGGATTTCCTTACTCAACAAGAAAATGTAATATAAAACTCTAAATACTAATGATAATTAATAGAAAAATTGTATAATTCTTTAAAATTATTATTTTTTAAAAAAATCTAATAAAAGAAAATCCTTTAAATTTGAGGTAAGGCAATAATTCTCTCATATGGTAACAACTGTGTCAATGTTATTCTCCAAGTTAGAAATAAAGCAAAAGTATTTCCATGCTAGTTTTGTTTATGTACTCTTTTGTAATGTACTATAAATATTTTTAGTGTGGATAAATATCTTGGTTTTTATTTTCATGTATATGATAATTAAAGATATGAAATTTTTTCTTATACACTAAAATCGTACACTCTATCAAGGCTTGATGAATAAACAACTTTTTAAATACCCCATGTTCACTTATAAACTAAAAAAGGTAGTACCTACATAAGAAATTTTATATTGAAATTACAAACGTTATGTTCTTCGGAAGTTTACGTGATTTAAATTTTTTTCAATATTCAAATATAAAATAGTACATTTTAATTTACTATAGCACAATTCAAGTATTCTCTTAAATTTTGTATTTAACCAACTAGTTAGTATGTGATATTAAGTGACTTTTTAATATAGCTTTCCTTTTTAAAGATGACTGTTATACAAAATAGTGCAACTCTATATCCTATAAATTGCTTAGATTAAGTTGAAAGAACAAAGACAGCAGACAAGATCTTTATGAGTAAATCACCTACACATAAAAGGTTGCACACCCAAGTAATAAGGCATTTGCAGGTAACTCCCCAGAAGAATTTGAATTCATGTAAACAAAGGTTATGTATATTCTTTTAGGGAGAAAATGCACTACCATAGATAAAATATATTCAAATGGTTGTGACTTTAAACCATATATTATTTGAATACCACACAAAACCAAAGAGGCTTAACCTGTAATTTTAATGACCGAAAGATGTTACTTATTCGTGAAATAAAAAGTAGACACTTTTTGAAACTAACAATGAAAAAGAAATGTTTTCAAAATAAACATCCACTGTTTTCCAGAAATAAATATACATACTTAATGTACTGCAGCACAGGAATATTGTCCTCATATTATCCATAACATTCAATCAGTAGTTTTAAAATATTTTTTCCACACTGAGCCTGAATCTTCTACCTTGTCAGTTGCCCAACGACTTTTAACAGAGTTTTATTCTCCTGCTTTAGTTGTTCATTTTCATCTTCTATATCATCTAGGTCCTTAAGGAAACCAAAAGGAAAATAGTATGTGAGTTTTTTTAAATATTCTAAATAAAAACACTTCAAAATATACACACTCAGAGGTAATTCATACAAGCAATTAATCTGGAAATGAGGGCAAGTTCTGAAAACAACTTTAGATAGAATAGTCCCACCTAAAGGAAGCATACACTACTCGACTCCTTCTCATTGATAATATGAGCCAACTCTTGCCAGATCTTTCAGTTTTTCAAAAGAAGCCAGAAACCAGAATTCTTTAATTGTAAATCTTCCAATTTTTAACCATTACAAAAAACCTTAATTTTTTATTTTTAAAAAATCCCCATTCCACACACACACAAAAAAAAACCCATATTGGGGCAAAATGAGGTTCTGAGGCTAAGATTGCAACCTTGTGTCAAATTAGGCATCAAAAAGATCCAGGCACAAGTTCTGGATATGACCTTTTGTAAGTGTGTATGTTGTGGGGTGAGAACCTGAGGAGCTGATAAGAACTGAGGTAAACAGAAAAGGAGATCTGGGACAGACAGAGTTGATCTGGCTCAATGTGTATATTAGGCTTCTCTATGATATTTTGTTTGAATGAAAGGTTTTAGAGCTTAAAAAAATTGAAAATCACTAAACTAGGTAATCACCCTTTGGCTTTAAAGTTATGTGATTCTAGCTTTAAGTTCCCTATTGTAATTCTAGTGCCTTATATACAACCATTTTGTAAATATTATACAAATACCGTCTGCTCTAAGTTTCGGTGAGAAGAAACATTATTTCAAGGCAGACTATTTACTGATGGTTGGAAAGCAGACATTTATAGATTTAACCTTGCAATTCAAAATACTAAAACTTGGAGCAATAATCTCATGTGCTATTGGAGAACAGCATTCTAATAAATTTAGTATATTGTCTTTGGATAATTAGTCCATGATTTTAAAATGTACAATTTTAAAATGTACCCTGGCCGGTATGGCTCAGTTGGTTGTTCATTCCGTTCACTAAAAGATAGCAGTTCTGATTCCTAGTCAGGGCACATACCCAGGTTTCAGGTTCAATCCCCAGTCCAGGTGGGTGCAGAAGGCAACTGATGGATGTTTCTCTCTCATATCAATGTTTCTACCTCTCTCTCTGTCTCCCTACCTTTCTCTCTTAAAAGAAAAAAAATCAATAAAAATTTTTAAAATGTACAAAACCAGAATCTGCATTTACTCACAAACTACATGAGTGATGTAGAAAAACTGATCTGTTTAAAACAACAATAAAAATACATGATTCCTAAAATTACTATAACTGAGACTTACATAAGATTTAGAATTATAAACAATGAAAGTACAGGTGTTTTATTATTCTCTTTAATGAACAGTGCTAATACATCATAAACACCAAAAATATTTGCAGATTTCATTAAATCATAGTTCATAACCAATAGATAATGCTGTGTTCTGATCCAAGATGAAAGATAGCCTATAAAAGTTAAAGAACTTGTTTAGAAGTAGGATTCTCAAATACCTGAGGCCAAATACTGGCTCAGTTGATTACTATGTGATTACTATATATGACCTTGAGCAAGTTAAACTCTGAGTTTCAGCATCATCATCTACAACCTGTAGTTAATGCCTTACAACTTTATGTTGCACATAATGAAGACTGCATTTTCTCTTTTTTCATAGAGTTAAGACTGGATTAAAAATGTTTTTTTTCCCCTAGCAAGCATGTCAAACTCCTTCAAATAAATGAGGCATGCGGCCTACCAGCCGTGAGTTTGACATGCTTGAAAAGTAAACATTTCCTTCCTCTATCCTATCTAAAGTCTTCTAAAACCAAAACTATGGGATGTCTTCTCATCAGCATTACTTAAGTATGGTCTAGCATTAAGACCTGCTTCTTAAGAAGGAAGTAAATTCAAGGACTAAAAGGAAAAAAAAAGAGCTACAAATATTCATAAGAGAGATCTTCAGATAAGGCTTATTAACATAAAGTTGAGAATGCATACATACACTTGAAGACAAAGAAGTAGAGAAAATACAAAGAAATTGGAATTTCCTATGGCAAGAAAATAGTCTTCATTGAGGAAACTTTGTGGCTTTTATGTATAGTGGTGACCAAGCTGCCTCTTACCTCCAGATGAACAAAACACAAAGCAAATCCATTCATCAGTCCATCTCTAACAGAATATTAAGTAAATACAATTAATAATTAAACAGAGAAAATCAATTACCAGAAGGAAATGATCATTCTTACCACAAATTAATGGCATTAACGAAAGAACCAACCAAATAATGAAATTAAATAATTTTTTCATATTTATCTATTTTCACTTAATTTCCAGAAAAAAAGGAATGAATCTGAAATATGTAAATACTCACTCTATTTAACAAGTCAATTTCTTCTTTGAGTTTTCCGATCATTTCCTCTTTATCTTGCATCAGTCTCACAAGTCTTAAGTTTTCTTGCCTTTCTCTTGATATTTCCTAGTATATATAATTACAAAGTTGATTAATTGGAAAGTAATTGGTGGTTTATAATTTTAAATATCATACATCTGCCAAATATGAAAATTTCCATTGAATTTTCTTGCCATTTGAAGAGGGAAGGAAAAATCCATCCCAGAAAAGAACCAGAGAATGAGAGGGACTTAAGAGTTGTAAGATATGTTTCTGATTAAATCTATGTTTACACAAATTTTTAACAAATACTAACACTCAAAGTTCCCTCTTTAGCTTATCACCACCATTAGTAATAAAATATTTTGATGGATAATATCTGTTTGAAGAAATTCAAATTTATTAAAAATAGTTTAAAATTTTTACTTTGTTATGCACCTTAAACTAATATATGTCAACTGTATGTCAATTGTAACTGGAAAAAAAATATTTTAAAAAGAAAAGGAGAAAGCTGTATAGAAAAGTCTAAACAGGAAAAAAAAAAAAAATGGCCCTCAGTTTTACTTCCAACTCTGCTAGTTAACTGACAATGGATAAAATGAAGAAACTGAAATAGATTACTGGTTTTTAAGCTTCTTTTTAAACAATGTAACACCTTTTCCAAAAAATCTTATTTAGAGAAACCAGAGACTTGGGCTAGGTCAGCCACGTTGGAGGCAAAAGAGAAGCAGAACTGAAAAGGTCTCACCCAGAACTACTTTCTTTCCTACTAATCCACAGCGAAAGCAGCCGGCCTGCCTCTAATCAACTGCTGCCAGCCACTAACAAGGCAATCCAAATCCTTGCGGAACTTTCAAAACCTTCTTGAAGAATCCGCTTGAAATCTACTGAACTATATATCTCTTAAAGTTTTAACTGTAGACTTATAGAAACTAGTTTGAAAGCTCATATGTGAACTAAAAATAACGATAATGTTATTAAAGAAACAACTTTACAAATTAAATCTCTACTAAAAATAATCTTTATATCACAGGTAATAATTTCAATTCAGCAAAACAAAACATTTTCGATAATCAGACAGTAATTCAGTACCATTATCAATTTTAGAGGTTGATTCTCTATAGAACCTGGTAATTTATACCAATATCCATTTGCATTGTTCTCAAAGATACTACTAAATAGGTTTATTCTTAAAATTGTTTCAAACATCATCTGTATATTGCGTTGTGTTTATTAACAAATGTTATCCCAATAAATTTAATTTAAAAAAATGTAAATGGTTTCAAACACAAAATATGGCTCTGGGCGCTAACTCAGAACCCAAAAGAAAGTCTACAAATGACAATCTGTACAGATAATAAAATAAAACACATAGTAGTGCATTCTGCCAGGAAAACTTGTAACCATTTCAAAGGCAAGGGCTATTTTCAATATATTAAAGATAGCAGTTGGCAGGATGGGAGCAGTCATTAAATATCAAGGAATACAAGAATTGGCTCTGCTTCTAAAAGTTATAACATCAACAGAACCAGATACAGGAAAATATTAAGGAAATCAGAAAGTAAACCAAGTCACTGTGCATCTAGACAATATATGTAAGAGAGTGATTCAAAGCTGCTAGTTGACTATAAATGGAAACTACCAATGAACACTAATGATATCTTCTCTCGGTGCCCTTATTCTCCCCACCCCCCCTTTTTTTTTAGCACTGTCACTCAGTGCTAAATTTCAATTTTCAATTTTTTAAAACTTATTTTATTTTTCAATTTACAAATTTCAATTTATTTTCTCTCTCAGCTGCTATGCAAGTAAAAAAAAAAAAATCCAAATAGTATATTAATTCTATCAACCTTAAATAACTTGTAATTCATACCTTTTCAAGATCTTCAATTTTCTTTTCCAATGTGTTACTTGAGACAAAATTACCTGAAGCATTTGCATCCCTATTATGTCTGCCGAACCCACTTCTATCTGTTCGGGGATATCTACTTGAGATATCTTCTTCAGAGGCAGTGGTTGTGCTATGAAAATAAAAAATAAAAAAATAAAAAATAATTATATATATTCATTCAAAAAACATCTAATATACCCAGCAAGTAGAATGCTGAAAATATTTTCTGTTCACCATAAACAATTAACATTCCCTGAGGACACCTGGTTACAGTAATCAACTTAATTCATAACTATAAAAGTTAATCATTATTCCAACATAGTGAAAAACACTAATTAATTCTTTTGACCAGTATCTACTGGATAGCTGGTAAAGACGGGACACTGTTCTGGATACTGTAACAGAAAACATAGACATACACCCTGCCCTTCAACTTAACGGAGATTATAGCTAACTAGAACAAAGCAAAACCAACATCACAATAAGTTAATTTAGGGTACTATGAAAGAGAATTAATGCAGACTATCTGTGATAGAGAACCACTTTCTTTTTTAAAAAAATTCCAATCCATCATGGACCAACCCTAATATATAAAAAGCCAGGGGCTATCACAACTGAAACAACTGGACAGACGAGGGAACACAGGCTAAGTGGGACGACCAGGCTATCGGGGGGTTAGTGAGGGATGACCAAATGACTGAACAGCAGGCTGCATCAGGTAACCAGACTGGTGGGGGGTGGGGGGGAGTGAGGGATGACCAGGCCAATGGGGGGGACAGGCCAGAAGGAGGGCAATTAGAGGTGATCAAGCCAGCAGGGGCAGTTGGGGGTGATCAGACCAGCAGGGGAAGTTGTTGGGGACGACCAGGCCTGTGTGTGGGGGGGAGTTGGGGCGATCAGGCCAGAAGAGGGGCAGTTAAAGGCAACCAGGCCAATGGGAGGGGGCAATTGGAGCATCAAGCTAGCAGGGGGGGCTGTTAGGGGCGACCAGGCAAGTGGGGGAGGCATGATTGGGGGCAATCAGGCTGGCAGGCAAAGGCAGTTAGGGGTGATTAGGCCAGCAGGAGGGGGCAGTGAGGGGCAATCAGGCTAGCAGGCAGGTGAGTAGTTAGGAGACAGTGGTCCAGGATTGTGTGAGAGATGTCCCGGATTGAAGAGGGTGCAGGCTGGACTGAGGGGAACCCCCACTTCCCCATTCATGAATTTTGTGCACCGGGCCTCTAGTACTTTTATAAATGATCAAATAAAAATGAACTATTGAAAAAACAAAAGAGGCCATACAAATTCAAATATTTTATTTTATTCTGATCCACAAAATTATATTTTAATAATATAATTAGAATAAATAGAAAAAAGAAAAGAATTGCATATTTTCCCCTGGAAGTATGCATATAGGCAATCATAGGCTATCACACTACTAAGTCACCTGAAGGCTTGACTGGATTGGAGAATTTGCCTCTAAGCTCATCCACTTATCTGACTGCAAAAGGCCTCAGTGTCTCACTGGCTGCTGGCCGGGAGCCTCATCCCCTCACTCTGTGAGCCTCTCCATTGGGCTGTTCACCATATAGCAACTGTTTCTCAAAGAGAAAGTGACATAGCAACCAAGACAGACACTGCATATTGGTTCTGCCCAAATCTCAGAAATGACATACTGGCACATCAACTATGTTGCAATTTGGAAGGGGGTTACACAAGGTGTAATACCAGGAGTTGGGCTTCCGGGGCTCTTCTGGGAGCTGATGACCATGGTTGTTAACTTACCTATACTAGGTTGGACTGATGATTATGCTGCTCACAAGGGTTAAGGTATATCTAAATTACATGCATGTTTTGTTTAAATAGCACCCATAACAGAAAAACTAGTTTCACAGATGTATGCTGATAGGAATAAGAGACATTAAAACAATTTCAGCCAGCTCATGATGTTCATTTTCAACTTTTATCACAAATGCAGAAAATGACACTTTTCAAAATGTCTTCAGTCCTTCATTAGAAATCAGCTCCAATCATATGCCAATCATTTATAGTTAAATGTAAAATAGCTTTTGATAAAAAGTGGATTCCTGATATATTAATTTTTTATGGATGGCTTTTCTTTTATGCAAATGTGCAATAATAAAATCACTAACTTTACTGATAACTGTTAAAATATTGTGGAACTCATAATCGGTAGAATTTCCCCCCAACATTTCCATTCATATATATATGTGTGTATATATACATATATATATATGTGTGTGTGTGTGTGTGTGTGTATGTGTATTATTGATTTTTTACAGAGAGGAAGAGAAAGGGATAGAGAGTTAGAAACATCGATGAGAGAGAATCATCGGTCAACTGCCTCTTGCACTACCCCCACACCGGGGATGTGCCCGCAACCAAGTACTGGCCCTTGACTGGAATCGAACCTGGGACCATTGAGTCCGCAGGCCGACGCTCTCTCCACTGAGCCAAACCAATTTCGGCTCCATTCATTTTTGTTCTTCGGTCTTATATAACACTGAAAACATTTTATGTCTCCCTTACATGGAAGACTAAATTACTTAATAAGAACTATTAGAGAAACAAGTCTAATTCACATATTTTAAAAGCTGGGGACCAAACTGATTTCTTAGTTTGGGATGAACTCATTGTTTTTGCACTCATTTTCCTTTGAACATTATTTTTTACTTCAGCATATGATTAACAGTTGATTGGTGGAGCTTCCAAATTATCACTTACTATTTTTTAATCTCAAATTTAATGCATTAGTGTTTAAGTAATTCACACTTTTAGTGAACCACTGTTAACTTAGCTGATATAACAAGAATACTGTTTAGTTCAGCTGAGATAGCAAGACTTTCTCAAAGAATCACACAGGACATTAATTTACATCCTGGCACAAGTTCCAGCATGTTTTCCCTGTCACTTGCTCTATATAATCAGAACATACTTCTACAAAAGAAAGCCAAACTTCAAATGAGTTGATTTGTTAACCGTTCAAAGTTTTATATACTGCAGAGCATGTTGTGTTTGTCATCAAGGAAGTTAAAAAATAAATTCTTCATATCACTGTCATGTTAACAAAAGTCAATGTGTTCATGAAATTATAACAAAAATTTCTTTGCTATTGCCGAAACCAGTTTGGCTCAGTGGGTAGAGCATCGGCCTGCGGACTGGGGAGTCCCAGGTTTGATTCCAGTCATGTATCTTGGTTGCGGGCACATCCCCAGTGGGGGGTGTGGTGTGCAGGAAGTAGCTGATCAATGATTCTCTCATAGATGTTTCTAACTCTCTATCCCTCTGTAAAAAATCAATAAAATCTATTTTTTTAAAAAATTTTGTTTGCTATCTTATTTGTTGAAGAATTTGTTTTCTGTATCACTTAAACGGTCCTAAATTTATCGAGCTATGGTGTTGCTGGAAAGTATTATACAAACTAGCTTCTTTGCTATAGATTCACTCCATATCTCTAATAAAGTATCTTTGTCTTATCATTTGTGTATAACCTGAAGTGAGACTTTAAAAGAAATTCACAAAGCACTAATGATTACATATGAAATCCTGAAGACTGGCTGTCAGCTTAACTATAATATCTGTTCAAATAATGCATTTGTGGTTGTGAATATATTTATGTCATGCCTATTATAAGTGCCACTTAAATTTTGATGGTTTTATTGTTTTAGTAGACAGTACATCACTGCAAATAATTCACTGTGGTTTTAGCACTTCCACATCCATTATGGTTAATCACTGAATTCAGTATAGGAAGGACAATGCTTGCCAACAAAACGAGTATAGACTCTGTTGTTCTGTATCTCTTTGAAATTATAGTACTTCCATCATCATCTCTTGGTTTGCTATTACTGTCATATTCAGAAAGGGATATTTTAAATTATTTTTTTAAAAGTCTATTAAAGCTTGTTTTATCTTAAATAAATTAGAATAAAAATAAAAAATTTACTCCCTGGATTTAGATAATACTAACAAATGCAGAAATTGAAAAGATTTTTAACATAAATAAATTTTCACATTTTCTTCAATTCTTAAATATTTTGGGTTACATAAGACTAATATAAAAATAACACATGTACAGCAGGCTACACATACTGCTCAAGCTCACATGAAACATACATCAAGATATACCAAATCAATGTCTGCTCTAAGGCCACAGTAGGATTAAACTAGAAATCAGAAGCAAAGATAATCAGGAAATCTTAAAATATGTGGAGATTAAACAACACACTTCTAAATTACATGTGGATCAAAGAAGAAATCTCAAGAAAAAATTTTTAAATATTTTTAATATTTCATTTTAAATGAAAATGAACCCACAACTTAAAATTTGTGGGATGCAAGTGAAAGCAGTGGGATGCTTAGAGGGAAGTTTATAACACAGAATGCATATATAAAGAAAGAAGAAGGGTCTAAAATCAGTATTCTAAGTAATTTTCTACCTTTGGACACTAGAAAAGAAAGAGAAATTTAAACCCAAAGTAAGCAGAAAAATGAAATAATCAGAGTAGAAATCAATATATAATAATAAAAGCATAATATGCTAATTAGACCAGACAGCCAAAGGACCTTCTGAACGAAGCCGCAGCAGCAGGGGCTGAGACAGAGGCAGTTAGGGGCAATCAGGCAGGCAGTCAGAGGGGTTAGGAGCCAGTGGTCCCAGATTTTGAGAGGGATGTCCGACAGCCAATTTAGGCCCGATCCTGCAGGGATCCCTGTGGGATGGGGCCTAAACCATTAGTTGGACATCCCCCGAGGGATCCCGGATTGCGAAAAGGTACAGGCCAGGCAGAGGGGAACCACACCCCCACCCATGTACCAATTCTGTGCACCGGGCCTCTAGTTAAATTATAAATAGAAAACCAAAATATAAAAATCAATAAAACCAAAAGCTTTCTTTGAAAAGATTAAACCAACAGGTCCCTACATGGGTTAAGTAAGAAAAAGAGAATAGACTTCAACTACATGACATGGTAGAAAACACAAAATTATATGGAGAGAGTAAAAACAGTAAGTAGTTCCAGGGGTTGGGGGAGAAGTAATGGGGAGGGGGAATAAATAGGTGTTGGGGAATGTTGATAATGGGGAAGGCCATGCATTTGTGTGTGTGTGTGGGCGGGGGGGGGAGGGGAG